ACACACACACACACACACACACACACACACACACACACATACACCGTACGTCCTGGATATTCATATTACGACTATCTTGTTTCCAGAAAGACACAGTACTCACATGAGTCGCTATTTCTCATAGGGGTCCAGTGGTTATTGAGCTCAAGATTTGAAACTTTAGTCGCAGGCACAGTGTATTGGTAGGTAGCCTCTGGTGCGTCTTTGAGCAAGACGAAAAAAAATATAGGAGTGACACCCGTATCAACACTATTAGTTATTTAAGAGGCGGGTCAAAACAAGAAAACCCATGCTCAGAAACAGGATAGTTTATTGTAAAATGTAATTGTAGGTGACTTTAAGGTTTTTTAAGATCACTTGGGTGGTTTATTGCTTTGACCCAGCCTGTCAGGGCCAACCCAGGCTAAGAGGGATTCTTCTTCTCAACAGACAGACGGAGATGCTCTTTAAATATTCTCCCCATACGGCAATCGAACTCGGGTCTTGTGTGTGCGACGGCGAAGCGCATCACAACGATTACTAGTGACCGGAGTGGTTACTGAGATCAGGCTCTCAACGATGCAAAGCGGGGTCCCTGGCACGACTGTGGTAAGATTGTATTGTCAATATTTGTATGAGCAAATAGGTATCCAATTACCAAGGTAGTCAGTAGACAATCTCTTTCCTGCATCTGGAAAAGACATTGTAACCTTTTTGTCCTATAGAAGTAGACTATTTGTGGCAAAAATCAGATCCACCATCTCTGATATTGTACCAATCGTCTGTTGCTCTGTGTGTAATGTTGATGTTTTCCCCCTTTGCCATCGCTGGATTTAAACAAAAGGATAATACGTCAGGGAAGATCGTATAGTCTACAAAAAATAGGTATCTAAGTGCCATGGTAGTTAGTAGGCTAACATTGTTCTTTATTTACAAAGAATATAAAACCCACTCTGCAGTATAGAGAAGGCAAAGAGTGTACCTAAACTCAGACTTCCAATGTCTAAGAAATGGAAGATTGTATTGATCCAAAGCAGGGCTTGTTACCCATAAACGTTCTTGTCAGGCTTAAGTCACTATCAGAGCAATTATCAATCTTGAAAGACAACTGACGAAGAAGAACACAAACTCTGTTTGATGGGGGTAGATTATAATAATGCGGGGGGACCTCAATTTACCAATTCTCTGAGAGTAGTATATTTAATGGTTTATTTCCTTTCCCTACGTATTGTTGACATCCACCCCCTTTTCACAAAACGTGCTTGTTTACTTGTACTTTTCCCCTCTGTCGGTTCTGGTGGATCTCGCTAAAAGAAACAAGTGTTTGTCAGTTGCAAGTCGAGTGGCTTGGAGCAACGTCAGATCGTGGGCTCTGTGGGTGTCTTTTACAGAGTCGATCCTGCTTCTCCTTTACCCTGCGTTGTATTTAGGATCGAAGCGCTGGTTGATCAGGGAGATTCTTGAGAGGTAGCCGATCCATCACGTGTGCTCCCCTATCAACTTATATGCTGAAACGTAAAGATGTTGACAACGAGAAGACCTCCAATAGCCAAGATTGTCAATAGACACTCATTGTCTTTTATTTAGAATAAATAGCCGTAGACAACCAATGTCTTTCATCTAGAAAGTATACTCACTCTATCTGAAGGAGGAGACCTAGTTGTAACAGAACTAAATCTCCCAGTCTTTGGTTTTGTAGAAAAGGGATAGTTGACAGGGATAGACTTTAGTAATTTTTAGTCGAACAGCAGAAATTCAACGGGGTTTTTTTTTATTAAAACGACTCAATGTATAGTCTCAAAGGTTTCTCTGAGAACGACTGAGAATTAATCTAAAGACGACGCTTGCTGCTCCCCCAGTAACATAAGAAATGTATAATTATGTCATTGAATGTTCCCGTAAAGATAATACCTTACATCACTTTGCTTAGTAAACCAAAAATAAATCTCCAATTGCAATTACAGTTAAACCTATGGCGGTGGGTAGTGAAGGGCTCATGGGCTTGAGCCCCTACCCCCTCCCCACCCACCACCCCCAATTAACTCTATCCCAAAGTGAATGAACGTTTCTCCATATAATGAAATAAGCAGTTGAAACCGTTATGACCGCACGCAATGAACACAGAGTGATCAACTTGGCGGCTTGCTCGTTTATCCAATCACTTTGTCACCGCTTACAACTATAGCAACCTAACAGCCAATCAAATGTCTTTAGGGCTCAGCAAGGGATGAGCCCTTTCCCACGATCGTCCTTAATGAAACTCTTCTTGTAAAATGGTAGAAGACTGGGAAAAATAACACTGTACCGAGGGCTCACGCTCTCCTAGCCCTGACAATGGGGTGGAAGTTTACGACACACGTTCCCCCACTGACACAGATACCGATTCGCTCATTGGTTCTTTGTTGGGTGCGTTCAACTTTCTTACACGGCCTAATCCAGCTCATAGAAGTAATATGTTCGAAGTGCTGTGTGTGCATGTTTGTGTTTGTGCCGCTGAGATTTAACAGTTATAAATCAGGTCGAACTACTTTTAAAGGCAACTTTTTCATCCCATGAAAATTAATTAGAGGAAATTTGGAGGTGAATCGGCTTCGTCCCCACCATTAACAAGAATTTAACTAAGAACAAAGAGATGGAAAACAAAGGTAACTCTTCTCATTTGGATGGTTCTCAAAATGCCGTGGCTCAACGTGAGTTGGCCTATAGAAAAAAGTCATCACTGTTTAATTCTTATTGCTTGCTATTTGGTGGTAAAGAACTGGAAGCAACCTAAGCCCCACCCAAATTTTGGTCCATCCACCGCCACTGGTAAACCTGCTCTAACGACCACCTTTCCAAGAAAATGACCTGTACAAACCTACAAACCACTTCTTTCACAACCCCCCCCCCCCTGGATATTAAAAATATTATAATGACTCTGTCCAAGACGTCCACCGGTCAAAGACAAACACTTTTCTCCTAAAAAATGGGGGGTATTCATGGCTAAACTAAAGCCAACCTGTCCAATAAAGAAGTCTTAACATGACTCTGAGGGTGCGGTGGCGGAGCGGTTAGTGCACTCGTCTCCGAAGCGGAAAGTACGGGTTCGAGCCTCAGTTCGGACACAGATTACTTTCGCCCCCTCCTGCCCACCCAACAGTAATGGGTACTTGACTTCGAGTTGGGGAAGGCGGCGTGGAACGCAACTGGCCACACAACCACAATATGCCGAAAGCCCAGGAAGTTGTCCCACTTCCCCAATGTCCGGATCTGATGCGGGAACAACTTTAACATGACTCCAGAATACTTAAAAAGAATCCAGTGACAGTCCAGCAAGGTCAGGAGCATATTTGGACACGTTTTAATACTGAGGTATCTATTTCACGTTTCGCTTTCTTTAAAAACAGTGTTGGAATTAAAACTGCTTTTCTCAAAACACAGAATCATAATTTAGTAGCCTACTCTTCTCATCCTCCTCAATCTTTGTGCTTTTCGATCTCTTCAGTGCCATTTACAGGCAATCAATTTACGAACGACGCGGCCTTATTCACGAAAGGATCTATAAGACGTAATGGCCCTATTTTTACGTAAATTGCAACTAAAGAAGCTTTACTCCCCTATCAACACCATTTTGATCACTTTAGAGGCGGGCTTCGACCCAGCCTGTCAAGAGCTGAGAGGGCAGAGATACAATCTCCCAGCACAAGCCCAAGATGCTCCACAAAAATATTCCCCGCTCAGGAATCGAACTAGTTTCTTTATGCGACAACAAAGCATCTAACCCCTACCCCAGACGCCTGTGCATTTCTTTAATTAAGAATATCCCAGTTTTCTATTATCCCCACATTGAATTGAACAAATGCTTTAATCTCTTCTCAAATGGCATGGTGGTTGATACTAATGGAATACGTATGTAGACGACTTATAATACAGAAAATCTAAGGACTTGGTTCCGTAATCCGAAACCAGCGCCTTAAATGAAAGACGATTCAATTTCATACTGCAAAGTATTTCTTTACTCAGAGGTGTTTTAGACCTAATAACGAAATCTCGTTATGGAACTTCGGGGAAAATAGATGCAATCGCAACTGAACATTTGAAATCGTGAAATCAACTTACTCTATAAACTATCTTGATGGAGGACTGAGGAAACCAGCCAGACACTTCCTCTTTCTACGGTAAGACGCTCTCAGACTGAGAATTCATCCCTTGTGAAATGTCATCTTGACAGTAAGACTGGCTTCGTATTCAGCGTACTCTGATGTTGATAATGTAATGTGCATATCGTCATCGATTGTGCAATGATAATATGACTGTCTGCTTATGTATAATAGTTCATTTAAAGAGCATAATATGTAAATGAGCATAAAGTCAAATGTGGAAAAGTACAACTTCTTAAACAGGGAAATGCAACGAAGCAAAAGAAACATGGGAAAATGATAAATGTCAACAAATAGAGAAGAACCCCCCCAAAAAAAGACAGCAAATACATATATTCCAAAATCAAAGAAGTAAGTGGGATAAAAGCGGTGATGTCCCAGAAGATGAGATACACCAGGTGCCACTGAGTGTGATATGCATAGATATGCTAGACATAGATGGAAAAGATCTAAGAATTATCAGGAATTTGTACTGGGACCAAAACGCTACTGTGCGAATTAATGGAGAATACAGTGAACATAGGCAGATTAGGAGAGGAGTGAGGCAAGGGTGTGTTATGTCACCA